TTATCTCAGGAGATTCATCGAAACCAAGTTTCTCTTTGTATCTACAATTTTCTTTACTTGAATCCCCTAGATTTCATGTACGTTATGCCCTAACTCTAATTAAAATATAGTTTAGTACTTTTATATCATTCCTCTCTGCTATCCCATATCTGCAAATCCTTTTAGGTGAGTGGACATCGCGTGATATTCCCCCAACATGCCATGTCCCATCTCAAGCTTTGGTGCAGTTATTACATGCGCTGGCATCCTAGTATGCTTCTCCAGGAGCCAGTAGCTCGTCGTGATCGTGCTTTGATCGAGGTGATGCGACGCTTTCGAGAACTTACTACATCAGCGGCACAAACGAACGCAACACAAAAGCAGGCTACGGCGACTTCGACCTCTGCAACGGCATCCACTATGGCCACAACCACTCGAAGTGTTGCTCCAACCGGAGAGGCCACTGGACAATATTTCCTATAATAGGCAACAATACATACAGCCTGGCTACAGGCAAAATGACAACAGAGCGTTTGTGAAGGTAGTGACGCTGCTAGACTCCCCTCAAGGTATTGGAGATAGAGAGGGACGGTTTACGCCTCAACTCGCTCCTTCCTCTCCAATTATCAAGATTACTTAATGGACATCAATTCGTCCTTTATCATTCATTGTATCGCCCTTTTAATTGGTCCAGGTGTGTTTTCTTGCTTCATCTTGAATTTAGTGATATAAGGACCGAATACTTATTGTCTTCAGTCCAAACGAACTCGTTCCAATGCACCGTTTTTTGCTTGTTTTGTGTATCTTTTCTTTCTAAATTTCAGCCAAATGCCCATACACCGCTTAACCTATTTTTAAATTTTTTTATTTTTATAGATGAGATTTCGGGAAAAGCATAATTTAATGTCATTTCTTTATATCATGATAACTTTTCGTTTATATTCACATGTACAGTCTTCTTTTCACTATAGACCGCTTTGTACTCATTAGTTTTATCAATCTATTTCCTATCACTTATACCTTAAAGATAGTTACATAAAACTGGTTTAGTGCACAATTACTTGTTATTTGCACATCACTCGATGACGGTGAATTGCGTGCTTCTCTCTGATGCCATTTTGATAGCTGCAGTGCTCTGGCGCAATTTACCTCTTCTTCAATGCTATCGTCCTATATTAGACCAAATGACCTCTAACCTATGGTTCTGATAAAGGTTTCTCCTATTTTTGTCTTGGATTGAATTGCGACTTAGTAATGCTTGTGTTATTTTTAGCATCAGAATTTTTTCGTGATTTAAGTGAAGTAGGATTTCACTGTTTATACTCTTCGTTTTAAATTAGAGAATTATAGTAAGCGCCTGTTTTCGCTTTTTTTAGACGTTTTAAACGCTTTACTCCACCGGACTGAATTCACCTGCAACTCGCTAAAGCAGGCTAGTTTGTTATTCTCTTAGACAGATTTGCTATGCTCGGATTGACCATTTAATCCCTTGGATCTTTACCCGCTAATTTCATCTGTTTAACCGAAGTTATGAAGACCAAGATGGTATGGCCTTTTGTGTGGTCGCAGTCTCCTTTCATTTAATAGAAGATTTTGACATTGTTTTTGCAACTTGGCTATATTGGTGGGAATACTTAA